CTATTTCGGTAAATAATGGTAATAACATAACTTTTTTGTTCTACCCTGTATACAACAACTGGCCAAAAAATCTTATTTTCTCGTATTTCCACAACAAAAAAGGTTTACTTGTTAGAAATGTCTAAAGCTAATAGTTTTCGAAATATTTGTTTTTAAAAGTTTCAATGCATTATTTGTACCATGATGATAAAACATTTTTATAACATAATAATCAAGTTGCTTTGGATAATATCTGAGTAGCGTTGCTATGGTTTTTAACAATAATAAAAGAGGATGGCAACAAAACTAATAAACGGAAATAATAACTACAAAAATTATTCAGAATGAGCACCACCTGGCCTAACACACTCTCGAGCTCTACGAACTAATCCTTGCTGCACTCTCCAAAGCATTTGGATGTTATTTGTCATTTCCTGGCTATGGTGGAAAATTCTTTGCCGAAGATCATCTACAGTTTCCACTGGCGTATTGTAAAAGCGTCGTTTTAAATCACCCCAGATGAAGAAATCCATAGGATTTAAATCTGGTGATCTAGCCGGCCACGATACAGGTCCTGATCGGCTTATCCACTGATCTGGATAAACTCTATAAACTTTTAAAAACTAACTAATATACTAAAATGAGGTGGAGCGTGGTCATGCATAAACCGCATATTCATGCGTGTTTGTAATGGAAGATCTTCCAGCAGAGTGGGTAATTGTTCTTCAAGAAATTGTAACTACCTTTGGCCATTCAGTCTGGGTGGTAACTCAATGGGCACTATTAAATATTTTCCAATTATTGATGTCCATAAATCAATTAGAAATTGTACTTGGTGTCGGATTTGTATTATTGAATGAGGATTTTCGTCTGCATAAATGTGAAGATTATGCGAGTTAATGGGCCCATTCCTTCCAAACCCTGCTTCGCCCGAAAATAATATTAACGAAGTAAAACCATTGTCGTGGTTAAACTTCCTTAAGAGTCATATACAAAATTCTACCCTAGCGAGTTCATCATCCACGCTTAAACCATGAACTTTTTGCATGTGGTATGGATGGAGCAGTTGCTCTTGAAAAATTGTATTTACTGTTGTACATTTCAAAACTTGAAATTCTAGACCTACAATCCTAACACCAACTGTAGGATTATCAAAGACAGCATCCAGAACATTTTCTTCAACTTCAGCTGTACGTACAGTTCTTGGAGCTCCTCTATGTTAGCCCATATTTTGAGCAAAACTACCTAAAATAAAATGGTTTTTACTACTCAAAATAAGGCTATAATCATTTCTTACCAGTTTCTCGTAACCGCTGATCGATTCGTTGGAAAGTCTTTGAATTAAGCAGATGTCTATTAGGGAATCTGTCAGCGTACAATCTTCGTGCTTTTAAAGCATTACATCTTGCCAATCCGTACATTTAATGCATATCAGAATATTCATCAAACACATACTGCATGATGTTTAACAACTTATTGTCAACTTAAAATTATTCATGAAGTTTAAAGCAATATTATGACAAACCATAGCAACACTACTCAGATATTATCCAAAGCAACTTGTTTATTATGTTATAACAATGTTTAAGCATCATGGTACAAATAATGCATCGGGACTTTTAAAAACACTTCTAACAAGTAAACCTTTTTTGTTATGGAAAAATAAGAAAATAAGATTTTTGGGTCAGTTGTTATATACAGGGTAGCACACAGAAGTTATGTTATTTACCGAAATAGTACTGTAAGTGGCATAAAAAAAGAAGTTGGCCATAAAAAATAATGGATTCATGTTTCTCATACTGAGTTTTATGCCAAAATCTGAAATACTTCTCAAGCAATAGGGAAAAATAGAAAATAAAATTGTAACTTTGTAACTGTATCTCGCAAACTATCAACTTTTGGACTGAGGTATGTTTAGGTCAAATCACATATTTTGGTAGTATCTCCAGTTTCGAGATTTCTTAATCTTTCGCAGATACCCTGTATATACAGGGTAGCCCATCCCATCCCATCCGCTAAAAGGGCGAGGCTTGTGATTTAAGTATGGTAGAGGTGCATAAGGGCCCGCTTAAGCGGCCTATGCACTGGCTCCTTATGGTGGCCGGGATGCCTCTAAAATTCAAGATTCATTCATTCATTCAGCCCATCCATATGTGGACAGAATATTACTCATAAACAAATACATTTTGGGAAATCTATTAATGGCATGTTATACATGACATTTGAGGGCACATTCTAAAATATTGGCAATTATACAGGGTGTGATTTTTTAAATGGAATGCCTCAAATTTTATTGCATATTTGGATAAGCCAGTTCGAAAGAAGAAAATTGATGTAACATACTACGGGGTTTTGGTAATTAGCTACCGAGATATAAGGTGCACATCGGCAACCACTCAACCTGCCATTTTGAAATTTAGAGTGGTGATATTTTGTATAAAAAAAAACTTACACACCTCAGATTTTATCTTATTTGTTACTTTTTCGAATTTTCATTTTTGCTCATACAGGGTGGTCAAAAACGCGAATTGTACTTTTTCTCAAAAATTTCAAATGCATCACCCTCTATATTTGTTCAAGTTTGGATTCAATTTTTAATAAGCTTTTTTGGTATAAGGTTTAATTCAGATAAAGTCACTAGATTTTGAGTTATTAAGCTTTTAATAGAACAACACACCAAAATTAAGGAAAAAAATCACATCATCCATGGAAACAAAAGACAAACAGTGGGCTAGTTCCATATTGCCACTAAGAGTACAGATTTGACGTAAAAACTAATAACAATCAGAACAGTATAAATCAGCTTCAAGTATAATAGAGAAAACAACTATAACAGCAACATAAACAAACAACTATCACTACTCAAGACCTAATCTACAAAAACTGCTCGAAAATATCTCCACCATGTTGAATACACAGCCATAGTCTTTGGATAAATGACCGATGCAGATCCCTCAGCATGTGATCCCTTATGTTCAGAAAAACATCCTTAATCCTTTCCTTCATATTTTTCGGGGTAGATGGTGGATATTTATAAACCTCTTGCTTAACGTAGCCCCATAGAAAGAAGTCCATCGGTGTCATATCTGGTGATCTAGGAGGCCAAGACCAATCCAAGGATTGTTATTCCAGCTGTAACGCACACGATTATGATAATGCGCAGGTACGCCGTCATGTTGGAAGTACATATGCATCCGAGTTTGCAGGTTGACATCTTCCAAAAGTAAAGGCAAATGCTCAATCAAAAATTCAAGTATTCTGTACCTATTAGTCTGTTGTCGAAAAAGAAAGGCCTGATAACTTGTCTGCCAATAACTCCTCCCCAAACATTCAAGCTGTATTTATTTTGGAAATCTATTTGCCTAACCCAGTAAGGGTTTTCCATCACATAATAGAGCATGTTATGCCTGTTGTCAACACCTATGCTGTTAAAAGTTGTCTCATTGCTAAAAAGAACCTTTCCAGGAAAGTAGTGTCTTCACTAACTTTATTTAGCATTATTCTACTAAGCTCCATTCCATTGCTCCACTGGAATCAAAACGTTCTAGTAGGGCAGAAAATGTTTCCGGCCTTGGATGTCGCATATAAGGGTACTGTTGCTTATAAATGCGAGATGCTAGGAAATTATCACCCAAAACGAACACCATATTCACCATTTCTTCTTTAGAAAAATTCATTTTCAAATATGCTTTTATTATAATGCTAAAAAAGCTAATTTTGAGTTTTTATCAACAATTTGTTTCCAAGGATGATCGGATATTTTAGGGAATTAAGGTGTTCCATAAAAGATGTGCTAATAACTGAAAAAATAACTGTAAAAACCTGTATGTGTCTAGTAGGGGGAGGGTTTTTCTAGGCAAAACACCTTATATCTCAGTAACTAATTACCAAAATCCCATAGTGTTGTATCAATTTTCTTCTTTTGAATTGGTTAATCCATCCAATGTATTTGTTTATGAGTAATATTCCACCCACACATGGATGGACCATCCTGTATATATGTACACAGAATAACTATTATAAATATGTAAAAGTAATATACCTAAATATACTAATAGTAAATATTAAAAATTTAATCATACATGTGAATGTAGACATGTAATGCATCACTTGAATGGGAAGAATTTGTATACTGAATACAAGAATTTACAGAACAAACAGGGCCCTACTCAGTAGGGTATCTGTTTATGTTTCCTGAATACACAATGCTAAAAATATTTTCTCATCTTAAGTGTTTTAAAAGTATGCTTGAAGGATGAGGGTAGGGTAGGGTAAGGTAGTCACAAATGTGTATTGTTTTTGGGGTTGGAAGATACTGGAACTTAAGTAATTTTTTATAAAAAAACCCAATAATCTGCAAATCTGTGAATTCAGGGAATAACAGCATACAGAGCTTACAGACAGTGTCTGCTTAACTCAAATAGTTTATGACACAAAGCCTTACAGCTTTTTTAATTCCTTCTACATGCAAATAATAATCAGTAAAACATTTGATATGCAGGATAAACAATGTCAGTTACATTTTCTCATAATTAACCAGAATAATTACATTCGCTCAGATAACAATAACATGATTATGTCATGAAGAGGTACTTGTCAAAATAAATTGATGATTTTGCTAAAAGCCAAGGCCACAGTCAAATTGATACAGGCTAATAGAATATTAGAGTAGGCTAATAGAATATTAGAGTAGTGATTCGGTAATTATTATTTTAATCACGTCTAATTTATACCATGGCATGGAATTTTGTGAATCAGTCAGAATCATGTTGTTTGAGGAGGAAGTGGTTAAGATAAAGTGGGAGGGGCAGAATCTACGTGATACTATTCAAAAATGGTTAATATATTAAGCGTTATCTATAACACGGAGCTGATACGCATTAAATCAAATTACCAAGCTATGTACTTTAAAACACAATTGAAAACAAACATAAATAGACTTGGTAGGAGATTTAAATAATATCAACAAGTAGTGCTGTGAGCTTCTACAATGATATGCAAAAAATGGAAAGCAAACTTACCTATCCCATGGCTATTTTCGTCAGTAACACTTTTCCAGCTCATTTTGGAAAATAAAATGTTATTACATTATGCATAAAGCTACGACACCTAACACACTGGAAGCCATGATCGAATTTTTTATTTGGATTTGGACTCGTCAAACCATTTTAAAAAGAAATGACATAAGCCAATGCAGGGTCACGTCTCACGTCATACACAACAGCAATGTTGCCGGGCTGACAAGGCGTTTAGTCTTTAGAAATTCACTGCTTCAACAAAATATTGTCAAGAATTGGATGGACAATTTCCACTTGAAATTTCGTTCGTTTTAGTTTTCTTGAATGCACCTATACAAAAACTGACCAACGCTTATGTTTATACTTTATCCACCTACTTCCTTTACCATTTCAAATAACTGACAGGGTTGTGCATTGTATTCCATTTGGTTAACAGGAATATTTAAGGATTTTAACCATGGATAGGAGGCTTTGAAGCGATTAAAAGTGCGAATATGAATTTTCAATCACCCTGTATATTTTTTGAAACCCAGACTAACCGCTGTTGTCTCGAGATTGTATCAAGTCAAACAAACCCATGTGGAATACGTTAATCAATGACGTTACACAAATTGCTGCATGAAATGTACTTACTACTACAAAATCCATTTAATCAGGAAGCTAAAAAGTGATGAAAGACTGTTGAAACTCATATCTTGGTCAATGAAGCATGTTTTTCATGTTTTATTTTTCCCTAAAATATTCTGAAAATGTCTTTATGCTTGCGAATAATTTTTCCGTCAATTTGATAACAGCGGCAGCACTTTGTTTAGTCTGGGGTTTTCGTTGCCGTAATGATTAGGGGAACAGAGTGGGGGGAGATGTACAAAAATTCTTACAAAAGATCTAACCTTGGTTTTTTGTGTTTTCATTTTGCCGCTTCGTGTTTGTAGATTTGTTGTAGTGGATTTGTGTGCCCCTTTTAAATTCTGCTTGTTCTGACTTGGTTCTTTCCACAAAATATATTCAAAACACAACCTGCTTGTTTAGAGGTTCTTTTTCACCGTTTGTAAACAATGGCGAGAAACGCAGAAAAGGCAATGTAAGTAGTTTTGTAACACATTTACTCAATATATCTGAATACCCCTTTTCATACAATGTTTTAGGACAACTCTGGCACGCTGGAGAGCTGCTCAATTAGGCGAACAAGAAAAACATAAGAAACGGAGGCCTTACCTAGCTTCAGAATGCAAAAGTTTATATGCATGTGAGAAATGGAGGATGCAAATTATCAGGGAGATTGCCAAGAAGGTGTCACAGATACAGAATGCAGGATTAGGAGAATTCAGGATAAGAGATTTGAATGATGAAATAAATAAACTGCTTAGAGAAAAGCGACATTGGGAGGATCAGATAAAAGAACTGGGTGGACCCGATTATCAAAGAGTTGGTCCACGGATGTTGGACCATGAAGGAAAGGAAGTACCTGGCAATAGGGGTTATAAATATTTTGGCGCAGCGAAAGAATTGCCTGGTTAGTATTTTATTCAAATTATGATTCATTCAAAATGTGTTTATCAAATCTGTGGGCATAACTCAGCTTTTTCAACATTTTCGCATATTCTTTGAGAAGATGGCAATAAGAACAATTCAGTAAAGTTGTATAAGTGGATATATGGAAAAAAGTCATAAAAATCACAATCAAAATTGAGGATAGGATCAAATTTGTCTAGTCTCATTTGTAAAAAGCCTCAGGTTGATCTTCTTTAGTCGTCAAAATTAACATGCCCTTTTAAGTATTTGCTACAGAAATCAAATTCAATATTGTCCTAAAAGCTAATAAGCTAAGGGAAAACTTAACAGGTGTTATGAATAACTTGTTTTCATAAAGTTTTTAATGGACAGTTTCTTTGAAAGAGCAAGATCAGACCTGTTTTGTGTTGAGCTGCACCAATTCCAGGCATGGTAGCATCATGAAGGAGAGCTCTGAGGAGGAAGGCTTGTTTTCATAGCAGTATAAAGCAGGCATTCGTTATTTGATATCAGTAACTAATTAGTAATCTTGTTTATCTTTGCCTCATAGTTCTACTTGCATTGGCAGTGGAATCTAACATCACACAATATGCACACACATTTATTCCATTTGATTGAGAACACTTCTTCTTTAACAATTGATTGATCTTCCCCCTTCCACTCATTTGTTTCTTTTATCATGTGTGTGTTCAGCATCTCATATGTGATCAAGTTAAATACCTGATATGCAGTTGATGTTGAATTCTTAAAATCATGTGCAACATGAACAAAGTTTCCAAATTCTTGACCCTAACAAACAAGATGAGATTTACACAATATCAAGGAAACTAGTAGATTTTTGCTGCCATGCTGCTTGACCCTACCACCATGCTGTGACTTCAAAGGAACTTTTAAATATGTTTGAAGTGGAGCTATATAGCGAATGTAACATTACTAAATACTTATGTGTGTATACACACATATGACCTGTATCAAATACCAATATATACAAAGGATTGTAAGGATATCTGGGTACTCATATTTCTCATATGTCATCCTCAATATCTCTGATCTATTAGAAAACTTTGTGCCCATGTAGACCTTTTATCAGGTTATGTACAATATACTACAAATTCAGGCAATGGAGAAGTTTCGTGATGTTTAGAATCGCATAAGCAATAATGACTTACCAGCAAAATATAGATGAAATATAATCAACCAGTGAAATAATTATTGAAATTGGTCAGTAAATGGCAGAGAAGTTAATTTTTAAATTTGGCGCATTATAGCGTGAAATAATTGCTGCCGTCAGTTCCCATCTGACGTTACACTTCACTAGTGCCGAGACTTACGTCGATGGTCGACAGCGTCTGTGCGTTTAGCCATTAGTCTATAGACAATTTATAAGACGCTCCTTTGCGCTCGGACACTTGGTTTCCAGTTGATAACTATTGAGTACTGCATAAGTATATACATAATATATATATATACAGGGTGACTTTGAAGTTGAGTCATTAATTTTCAGATAATGATTGTAGAAGGAAGATAAACCAAAATATGTGTGTAAAATAAAAAAAAATTAAAAAAAATTTTACCTTGTTTTATAAAGTATCCTCCCGACAAGTATTTCAGTGCGGACCTGTATTTGATCGTGAGGTCCCCTGTGAGGTCTTAAGTCACCTGATTCACGAGCCCGTTGTACTACATTAACAAAGGCACGAGGGGTTGGTTGCACTCGATTGGGAAACCGATCCGCTTAAACATGTGCCATTTTTTATTTCACTATTCACACGCGACTGAAACTGACTGTATGTATAACTGAACTGAATTGTAATCGTAAAAACATCGTTCCAAATTCTTTCGCTTTTTTGTTTCCGATGCGATGAACCGTTGTTGCCAAACACGAACACATGATATTATTGAGACAGGGCGGTACTCAAACTTCCAAAGGGCTATAACTTTGTTACTTTAATTTTACCAGAAAAATGGTAAAGGAAAAAAACATTTCTTTTGATCAGATCTACACACTGTTAAAATAAATGACTCAACTTCGAAGTCACCCTGTATATATATATATATATATAAGTATTATGGAAGCCGGATTTGTAAAAGGGTTAAGTGACAATTTGCCCAGAATTAACATTTCTGCAGTGATGGAATTTATCTCTTCAAATCCATCATATACGAGCGCGGAAATAACAGGTGTGAAACTTTGGAAGTAAGTATTTATGCCTACTGTGACATTGTCTCATATACTCCACATTCTCTCAAAGGTCGCTTACCTTTTTGGCAGTCAAACTTATGAGGGTTTACTCTGGCTTTCAGCTTCAATCTTCCACCGACTAGTTTATGTTTTATTATATTTTCAGTATCATTCTTAATCTGTAATAACAAAAAGGCATTCGAGGTCGAAATTTAAAGTAACCTAACTTGATAAAGGTGTTACTTTTCTAAAATCTCATTAAAATATATAATTGTAGTTCAGAGTCAACCTACTTGACGCCTTTTTAGGGGGTAACTGACACTATAATAGCTCACAGGCATTCTGGTTGAGTTGAAATAAGTGATCTGTAATATTAGTTGATTAATATTTCCCCGCCAAATGCCGCGTGTACAGTGAAATGAGCTTGGAAATCGTATAATAACAAATAAATAGTTATATACTCACATCAAAGTGTTCTTCACAGACATATATGAATGTTGTACTTTTTGGTCCAATCAAATCACACTTATAAGTTTGCATCATTTTCTGCTGGTATTTTCATGTGAAAAAATGTTTATTAGGGGTTGTAATGGTTGTGCTCGTACATTTTGGAACGATACAGTATTTATAACAACCTTTTGTTATTTCGCTCAAAACCGATCGTATATGCAGTCAACTAATTAAACAAATTGGCGCGGATGACGTTTAGCCTACCACGTGTTCCCACTGCATGTGTACCTATGCGTGTGTTTAGGGAATTGAGTCAGCCCGGGCACAGGGCACAGGAATCGGCCGCGGCCAACGCAACTGGATAGTAAAGTGTGGCGTTCAGACGGAATAAAAATATTCTCGCGGGGCAAAACTTTGATGGTCTATAACTTTTTTGGTTTTAGTGATAAATTAATAACTTTTTCACCATCTTGTTTCATTTTTCTTAAAATTTCATTTGAGCTAATAAAAAATGGTAAACTTGTCCATTCCACTGAAGACTCTTCTGCCATATCTTTTGTGACATCTTTATTATTTTTCATAAATGGGAAAAGCTGTCTGAAAGGTAATAGATGATTTTGCAACTTGTTATTATACTCCTCCGATTTACGACAATTGGGTCCCAGGAGTGTTAACTAGGGTTATGTTGTTACTGCCAAAAGTACTATACATTGAGAATCCAACTTCTTTAAAATGAGTTGTAAATGGTTGCAACCTCTCTAAGTTCATAGTCAACACTCCAGTATAGAAGAACGTTAGTCACTAGAAAGTTTTGTTTACAATTTAGTAGAATATGTCCTCTTTAACCGAAAAAATTGCGTTGTAGGGAAGGTGAGAACGAACAAAATTCTGTTAAAAAATGTATTTGTATTACCTGAAATTGAATCATTCACACATTTAATAAAGAAAGGCGATATTTTTCTGTATATTCTAATATATTTCTGAAATGAAGATGTAATTTCAAAATCATCAAATAATTATATCTCTCTTTTGTATACAGGGTGACAGGAAATTAGTGGCGGAGCCGGTAAGGGGTGATAGTATAGGGTAATTAGAGCCGATATTACTATGAGACCTACTATCCCACAGTAACCCATTCCAAAAAATTCGTACTTGAAGAATTTTACCAAAAAGTTCTACTTAAAATTTTAAAATAGGTATACATCTTAAAAAATGGCTTTTCGGCCAATTTTTTTTTTTGGTTTTGCAACAAAGATATTCTGAATAAGGAATACTAATAGTTTAATCCTGGTAATTGTCGTAATTTTCTGCGATAATTGCTAAATAAAAATTAAAATGAAAAAAAAAACACGGTGACGGCTGCTAAAACGTGGATTTACTCAAAAAAGTCACCTATAATTTTTACGTACAAAATAATGAAAAAACATCTAAGTTTCGTTGCCTTTCGAATGTGCTATTAAAATCCAAAATCGGTTTAGAAACGATGAAGATATGATCAATGGAAAAACCCATAGAGCCTATCCGAGAACAAAAAAGGACGCGGTCGTTGGGCAGTCGAGCTAATCCCTTCCTCCTTTCAGTCCGCTCTTACGGTTTACTGTGTTCGGATGTGCTCGCTTGCTCTCAGATTTGATATTTTCACGACTTTGATTTTTCCTTACGATTTGGCTGCTGAGTGACTGAGTGTGGACTAGCTGACTAATAATGGCTGTTAGAGAAAGAAGACGATCGTTCAGTATCGACGAATACGCCGATATTATTTTTTATTACGGAGCTGCCAGAGGAAACGCAGAACAAGCTCGTCGAGAATATGCCGAAATATTCCCTTATCGTCGATTGCCTGATGCACGCGTATTCTCCCGAACATTCCGTCGAGTGCGAGAGCGAGGAACCGTCCAAAGATACCAAGGTAAGGAACAGCCATTATTATTATTATTTTGTTTACACAAAATTCTTTATCAAATCCGTTTCAAACTAAATAAAACTAAACCTTTCCTATCAGTTTTTTGTTATCCTTGCACGTACCCTTTTAATTGTGGGATTGCAAAACAAATGTCGCTGTCCATACAACTTACTAAAGTTAAACCCATAAATTATCGGTATGCCAGGGCTCGATAGGCTAGCTTTCTTCATAAGATAAACACCGATACGTCAGTGGTGCCTCACTACCTGCCGTAAGGCCCGTAAGTGCGACAGACAACCCAACAGAGGGCGTCCTGTTTCCACATTTTATTACCACGCGGACAGCGAGTCTTTGATGCTATAATTGCTTTTAGTTTGACTAATATTAACGGCTACGTAATTAGCACCATAAAAATCAACAAAAGTCATTGTACTAAAACTTATAAAAACAAATCTTTTTTGTTTTC